TGTTTCAATTAGATTAATCTCACCAAAGCAATTTCGACCTAGCAGCTTCCTAACATGCCATTTATATTTAAGTGGAGTGACTACTTTTAGTTACGACCTCTATGAATTACACACAAGAGTCACAAATCACTGAAATGACACAACAGGTGAGTAAAGGAATTTCATTCTTGGGCTGTCTGTGCTGGAAGTAGATTAAAAAAAGTAACCAACCTTTGTTCATGGTCTACCCTTGCGAAATGGCTCTTGGACCCTTGCGAAATGGCTCTTGGAATTCCTAGGAATTCCTTGGATTTTCCTAGGAATTCCTAGGAATAAAGGTGTGAATTTTCACGGTAAATTCGGACTGGGAATTCCCAACCATAACAACTCTGGTTCTAAAAACCTAGAAATTCCTAGAAATTCCCAGAAATTCCCAGAAATTCCCAGAGATTCCAAGTTTATAGCCAACAGGACTTGGAATTCCTAGGAATTCCTAGGAATTCCAACTCAGAGAACCAATGACTTTCCCTGAAAAGCTGTAAATCTAAAAAATTCCTAGGAATTTCTGGGAATTTCTGGGAACTTCTGGGAATTTTTGGGAATTTTTAGGAATGTTTAAGAATTACTGGGAATTTTAAGCAAAAATTTGAGGCTAATGATATAAAATAAATACTTTAAATTAAAAAAAAACCCAGCTAAAATTCAAGTATTCAATGAAATTTATTTAGAAGCTTAATTAAGGCTTACATGTAAAATATTTTTGATTAATTACTAACATCAATGTGTGGTAATATTAGGATGGAATTTGATTTATTTTTCTTTCCTTGAAAACTTCATACGGATTAATCCTCAAGTACAGCTATTCATATAAAATAGTTCTAATCAATCATTAAATTTGGTTTGACACAAATTGTGAATAAAATCTGTTGATTCTCTTCCATAAAATACAATATCTTAAGTTCTATTTATATAGTTATATTCTTGGGAGTGAAGGGGCTAATTACAGACAAATAAAATTGATTTTTGATTAAAATCTTGTTGTAACTGTAACAATAAATTAGAATGAAGTTATCCTAAACTGCAAACTTAGCTGCTGTTTGTACTGTTTGTATTTTTTCCTGGGCTCACAATGAGTTGGCCTTGAATGAGGTTGTCAACAAGAACCTTGACCATTTTGTATCCGGATTCCTTGACATCTGAATTTGAAAAAAAAAAATATATATTAAAATATGTATGTTTAAAGCTCAGACCAGGCTTTTTAAGATGGCTATGAGGAAAAGGGCATTCATTGGATTCTCAAATTGAGAAATCTCTGTTATATTGAGTGACTTTTATATTGGAGTTAGTACATCTCTCTCATGGATTTTACTAAAAAGGGCTGAATACATTATTTTTTTTTTTTACCAAGGAGGGCTTCTTTATGTACTAAGGTTTGTTATGAATCTTGAATGTTCCCAAACGTGACTAGAGGAATCTTGAAACCTTGCTGATAGGTTTATTTCATTGTAAAGCATAAGCTTAAGAAACTGCGGCATGCAAGTGACCGATTCGATTCTCAGAATTATTCTAGTTTCAGTTGCACCGAGCGTTATGTAAGCTTAATTCAACTCGCTACATCTATTATTTTATAAGATTTTGATCTCGTAACGAATATCGCAATTTTTACTCACCACAAACTTTCAAAATCGTAGCTTTACAGATGGCCACTCGACCCTTGTTTGTACCAGTCCATATGTCAACTGTTGTCCCTTCTTTTAACTCCACGGCGCCAACGACTTTCTTCTCTTTTACAACACTCACGCTATTCTCGTTTTCCCATTGAACCACAATAATAGCTATCTTTAGAAATGTTATATTAAGCAAAACAGTTGAGAAAAGCGATCAACCGACGAAAAGTACATTCAAAGATGAGCGCCAAATGGAGTCTTCTTTGTTTCCGATCACGGGCATGATCACGTGGATCTTTTAGGACTTGTCATTGGCTAGCAAAGTGAATCCGCTGGCTTGCCGATTGCAGTGTTAAGATAAGCGCACAACTTTATTCTGACTTCTCCGACCGGTTCTCTGCTTCTAGAAGATGGATAGCTTGGTGATATAAATAAAGATGTGAGCTCACTCTATGTAGAAATAATCGACAAGAATCGATCGTATTACAAATGCACGATTTGTGGCCGAAAGTTGTCGAGGAAACAAAGACTCGAAACTCACTTGAGTTGTGTTAATGGCAAAGGTGAGAAATAACACAAGCCAATCACAGTTTTGAATGCGACTACAAATCGTCTTTTACCCTCATATTTATAAAAGAAGGATACCACATTCGGAAGTATAAGAGATACATAGATGATCCCAGTGTACCAGTACCTAAATCTACAAAGCTTGACCGTAGCAAACGTTCAGCAACACGTTCCAACACCGCCATCTCGATTCCTCAGTCAGTCGTTTCCACTGAACTTAAAGCAGTATTGACAACAGAGTAGAGTGCGTCTTACAAAGGAGAAACATTTGTACAAGAGACAGAAGTAGCTATATGCGATTACAGAGGTGCGTTGGAACTCTGGTCCACAAATAGTTTGCACTGCCCAAAGTATAAAACAATTATGTTGATAGCTGACAGACAGAGAAGAACAACAATTAAACTTAAGAGCTGTTATTATTGAAGTGTGACTAGCACTTTTCATTTTTATATAAAGAAGGACTTGTAATTTGCACCAAAAAAAAAAGATTTAATATTTTTTGGGAAATCCAGTGATTGGGACATTTAAGAAATTAAGTTATGAAAGGAAACTTGGTTGGTACTTCTCACCACTAACAAGTCTTGTTGACAAATATTTTCAGATCAGAGTTTCAAATAAAGTAAATTTAAGACGTCATATAAAAGGTGTTTTTTCTCAAAGGGAACATTGACTACCTCTGTCTTGTCTGCATGCCAAATGTTTGCAAAGTGTGTGGATGATCCACAAGTATTGGAACTCTTACAAAAATGTTTTATAAGAATAAAAACAGCAAAACAAATTACAGCAATTAGTCATGAAACTAGAGCAAAAACTGAAAAAAAAAAAAGCAGCAACAACAATCATGAAAAAGAAAGATTAATTAGGTGTTGAATTTGTTTGTCTAAGGCATGAAATTTCTACTAAAAGTATTGTCAACAAAAAGTCTCTGACAGCGTTTGAGGCAACTGAGCTTGACTGTTCCAAGGTTTTCTAACAAAGGCAACCAGTAATGTAGGTTAGGGAAGTAAGATAACAATGTAATTATTGTTAATTATTGTGGAAGTTGGCAATTTCCATTTAACATAACTGACAGCTGGTTCATGAGAAAATCCATATTAATGTAAAGATTTACTAAAACTTAGTTTGAGTAATAAATTTCATGATCTTTAAGTTGTAAACATGTACATGTATGTATATCTCTTGGTAAGTTTTGTATAGCATACCTTTTATTGAGCCAAAGTTTTAAGCCTCTGAAATTACTCTTTTTCTTAAAACGTTCACATTCAAGGTATTGAGAATTTCTTAGAATTTATGTGGACCTCAGGGTATTAAAATTGCTTCAAATTCAATTCCCAGAAATTCCCAAGAGTTCCACACTTCTTAAATTATAGGTAGTTTGTAAAGCTGAGAATTCCTAGGAATTCCAAGGGATTCCAAGTCCTCACAAAACTGGAGTCTTCCTTTCCCAGAAATTCCCAGTAATTCCAAGCTTTTTAAATCAGAGTTAATTTGCATAGTTGGGAATTTTTGAGAATTCCTAGGAATTCCTAGGAATTCCTAGGAATTCCCAGAAATTCCCAGAAAACTGGGAATTCAGTTTGCAAGGGTCATTTGCATAATTGGGAATTTTTGAGAATTCCTAGGCCCAGAAAACTGGGAATTCAGTTCGCAAGGGTTACCTTTTCCACTACAGCCCAAACAGGCTGTTCAAATGAGCCATCACAAGAAATGCACAGTAGATTTCCATACACAAGCCAACTTGCAGATCAGTGTCCAGATAACATACCGCAGATGTAAACATACGCATTTCTACATACATTCAAATTAAAATATTTCAGCCAGCCATGTTGTAGTGATAAAGTTTGAATCAATGTGTTTGATGACAATCAAAGATCAATACCTAACCTAATATTTGTTTATTAACTATAATCATTAGTTGACTTTCTTGTCTGGTCTAGTATCGTAAGCATTATATCATCATCTCCTATAGGACTGACATCAGTCACTCGTTTGCCAAACCTTAACTTTAAGACAAAAATGCAAGAGTTTTTACTTAACCCTTTCACTCCCAAGATCTAATAAGTAATTCGCCTTACTATCTGCCATACCATTCTTATGATGTTAGTTTGGAGAATTTGGTATCACATCAACTAATAATCCCATAATTGATATTCTTCTCTATTCTCATCACCTGCCCGCTTGATATTGTATTGATATTGTAAGGAGAAATTCTGTCTTGGTCACTTGTGGGAGTGAAAGGGTTAAATAATCACTGAATTGGCCAAGCCACACACTCGCAGCATTTTTTCTTTACTTGATTCATTATTGTAAGTGAGGTGGCTCTCCCATAAGCCCCGTGGCTTCCTCGGTCTCCTTGCCTTCTAGCTGCTTCTAGATGACATTATACATCCAAAGACCTCAAACTTAACAAAGCGCTCACCCCTAGTCAATCATGGTGGTTGGAGAGTTTTCTCGTTTATGAGTGCGTAGTCCTTTCAGAGTAATCCTAGATGCAATTGCAATCACTATCAACACTTTACTACCAATATATAACATATGCAATATCTGAGAGACTTAATGTTACATCAAATCTACAACATAATTGTGTTGGAGATGGAAGATGAAGATATGAGGAGGAGGATGAGGGTGAGGCAGAGCATATGAGGAAGAGGAGGGTGTGGGTGAGGGCAAGGATGAGGATGAAGATGAGGATAAGGAAGAGGAGAAAGATAAGGATGAGGAGAAAGATGAGGTAGAGGAGGAGGAGGATGAGAAGGATGGAGGGGGGATGTCAGGCTAAGGATGAGGATGAGAATGAAGAGGAAGAGGAGTATGATGAGGAGGAGGATAAGGAAAAGAATGAGGATGAGGCAGAGCATATGAGGTGGAGGGTGAGGATGAGGATGAGGTGGAAGAAAAGGAGGATAAGGAGGAGAAGGAGGATGAGGAGGAGAAGGAGGATGAGGAGGAGAAGGAGGATGAGGATGAGGATAATGAGGAGAAGGAGGATGAGGATAAAGAGGAAGATGAGGAAGATGAGGATGAGGATGAAGAGGAGGATGAGGATGAAGTAGAAGCAGTGGAACTGATGGTCAATTCAAAGTTATCTTTGGGAAAAAACACAGTCCACTGATTTCTAAATCTTCATGTTAAATCACAAGTAATGAAGTAGCTACCCATAGGATTATGTAGAATGGGGCCAAACTATTCTTCATGTACCTAACACATGCTAGCCATAAATTGAAAGTAAATCAAAAAACTTGTTCCCACCTATACATCATCGCTTCCTTTGAATCACACTTTCCTTTGCTTAAAAAGTAAGAAACTCCATTCTTCAACTTGTGAAAACACTCCTCTCTTAGAAGTCTGAAGTAAGTGTTCAAGTATTCTTTTTCTGAGAGGTACTTGCCTTCTTTCTTGATCACTGGTAAGTCAGTTGTTCTAGTTTCTTCAATCAATAGATGAATCATGAAAATTAAAGCTCATTTTATAATTGATAATTAAATGCACCTACCACCATAATTAAGTCTAATGGCAATATACTAAAGGATATATACACAATTTTCATTGCTGGTTAACAAATCTGGATTTCTTGTTTGTATAACTTGTCCATCAGTGATAAAATGAGAAAAAAATTACTTAGTAAACCACAGAAAGTAGCATATGTTTGACTCACATTTGCTTGCACCACACAGTTATTAACTTAAGTTTGAGTAGCAGCTGCTCAAGCCTAGCATATAACAGTTAGCAGGTTTAGTTTCACCAAAAATATATGTTTATTTAAATCATTAATTGATATGCACTGACTTGTTGAATCTTTATGGATTTCTTCACTCAGCAGCAGCAAGGGAAGATCTCTCCATGAAAAGCCTCAAGATCTGCATAGACTCCTGGCACTGCAATGGCAACCATCAGTGACAACTTTTCCAGGAAGTCTAAAGCAGATTTCCCACAGGAGCTGTTCACTAAGCTTTCAGCAAGAATTTGCCATGGGTAGAACTCTTCGACCAGAGGAAGGTGAAACATTTAGGACATGTTCTAGAACATTCTGCACCACTTTGAAGGGTCCACTGATAATTCAAATAGTAAAATCACTAAGTTTTCCTGTTTTGACAATTTGAAAACTTAACAGGTGACAAGAACAAAATAACACCTCCCTTACACTTTCAGCTGGTTGGTAATAAAATAATTGTCATCGTATGCTGCCTGAAATATGTTTGGCCCAATTGAGTACACATACAAGGATGCCTTGGCTAGGATCCTTCAAGATTGATTTTAACAAATTGCCTTGTTATAGATCAAGGAGGCAGGTTTTTGAGCTTATATGTAATCATCCAAGACTTCTCACAAACCATTTTCTACAAATTAAGGCATCCCTTTAACTTTGCCCTTTGCTACCTGCCTTCAGTATTGAAAGCAAAGTGTTGAATAAAACAGATCACAGAGTAGAGATTTGGTGTTAAAAACCCAAACATTTGGGTAAAAAAAACATGGGCAGAAATGCCAGGATATGAAATTCAAACTAACATATATACAAACTACTAGCATTTGTATTTAGTTGAGGAGGAAAGCCATGAAAGCTTCAGTTTGTTCTCTGCATTTTATACCTTAGCTAGCCCAGTGTCATAATGCATACACACTGATTTTGTAATCTACTTGTAAGAGAAAAAAAATTTTAAATCTTTGCATATTAACTTTTTTCAATTGCCACCTGAACATTACCTGATACAATTTTCTTTGGCTAAATTCTCAACTATTTCAGGAAGGACCAATTTGAAGAAGGCACTCTTTGAAAATTCTTGAACAATTCCTTGAACAGTTGGTAGCATTCCTCTCTGAGTACAGGAGCATAATTTATCAATAATAAGTAAGACATTGTGGGCAAAATTTTGCTTGGTTGTGTTGCTATAATCTTCCCAAGGATGTTGAAGGATGTATTCCCAAAAAGCATGACACCTGTTAAGAATGTAAGTGCATTATTATATTAAAGCAACGCAACAAAACTTAATTAGATCAGTTAAGAAGCAAAACAAGAAAAACAAAGAAAAGAAACGAAAACTTTCCTATATATATTTGCATTAAGTTGGGAATTTTTGAGAATTCCTTCAAATTCCCAGAAAACTGGGAATTCAGTTTGCAAGGGTTAAATACAATTAAGCCACTTGTTATTACCTAGGACCTTCTGATCAGTTTTAAAGGTTTCAACACTCATATTGGAGTTGTGAAGACAAAGAATTTTGCCCTTACAATTTGAGTGGTAATAAAAACAATCAGATCACAGCTAGAGAACCTTGAACTGTGAAAACTCTGTTTCAGAAATGTGATAGAATAGGTGGTAAATAACTGGGAATATAACCAGTTTCAGCTCCAGGCTTAATTCCTTTCCAGGTGGGAAATGGTGAGTTTTAATAGTAAATTAAGTCAATTTCCCTGAAATCAGTAGAACACCCAACTGTAAGAAAAACAAACAAACAAATAACAAGAAAAATTTACTAAAACTTCAAGTTAGGGCAAACAAGTGTGAGGCTATAAGGGTCAGTGAATTTTCAGTAAATAACATCATTTTAGTAAATAATAAAACACTGGATATAGTGCTGAAGGCACAATTTCTCATTGGTTACTCAAACTCTGAATATTCTTTAATATAGCCTTTCACTTCTGAGCATCAGTGTGAGTGGGACTAATGCACCCATAAACATATAGTTTAAATCATCTTTTTCTGCCATACTATCTTACTGTTTTAGTATATAATAAAACAATGGATCACCTTCGCATGTCATCAGAGTCAGTGGCCAATGGTGGATATTTACCTGGCTGCTTTAAGCTCAGTAAATGTCCATCATCAGCCACCCTTACTTTGGTGAATAGTTGTTACATATTGTGCATAAAAGTTTAATAACTTGCAATAAAATACCCGGTCATCTGAACATCACTTTCCCCATTAACATATAGAAATTCACTCTACCTGTTTCAGTACATACAGTTAAAGACTAAAGGAATGAATCATCCACTGATATATATGTGCCCTAATATAATTTCATGATTTCAACAAACATTCAGTTAGTTAAATGGAAGGTTAAGCAATTCAATTTGAAAAAACTTAAAGATTATTATAATTGAGTGGTCTAAAGTATTTTATCTACAAAAAAAGGAATTTTTTATGTTCTATATGTTTAATAGGCCATTTTATAGTTGTGTACTTAGTTGCCAAGCCTTTGATTCAGAGTGAGGCTGAAGGTGATCTTGTTGTGATAGAGACCAGTATCTAGTTAGCATGATAACAAATTAATTTGCATTTGAAAAGCAGCAAGGTTTGTATCATAACAAGGTGACCCTTAGCCTCATTCCTGTTCAAAGGCTTGGCAACCAAGCACTGTAAAATGGACTATTACCTAGTAGTAAAACTGGGTTTGAGTAAGTAACTCAAATTCAGCCAATAAGCTGGGAACTGGAAAGACAATTGAACCAATTTATGTCTTAAAATAAGTGGCACTCTGCTGCTTGCAGGGTTAACTACAGTTGTTGTAACTTGTTATTAGGATGTGATTAAAAAAAAAGAGAGCAAGCACATGGATAATTGGTGTTTTGTGGTTGTCAACTTGTAACTGATAGTTTTTTGCCATGCAAAATTCTCTGTATTGAGTAAATACACAATTCATTTACCAGTAACTGCCCTGCAATCAGGTTATTTATTGACATTAATTACCTTATCAGCTCAGCTGTAGCAGCAGACGACCCATCACTTTCTACTTTATGCACATGGTTAAGAAATGCCTCAATCTCTTTCTCAGATAATTTGTAACAGCTGAAAAGTGAAAGCATAAAAATCAACCCTTTAGGTACCATTTATTCAGCCGACCATCCAAAGTCAATTAAATATACTTAAGGTGAAACAGTTCTTCATTTAACCAATGCCTGTCTTTTGAACAATCTGGTCATGTTGTGAGAAGTTGGGTGATGATAACTTATGGAAGTTAAGGGTCTGTAATGTATTATGGTACTAACCCATGTCACTGCCCAACTTAAACCCCAAGGGTCAGAATAGCATCTAATTTCTCCTCACAGTATCACCCAAGAATCAAACATGGAGGTCATGAGAATAAAGAAAATGATCACCAACTAACAAAGCTATTGATTGTTACCAAATTCTCCTTGTTAGCACCTTAAGAAATATATAGAGAACAGTTTAGAGAATATGCAAACTTATTTTAAGGTGGAAAGGGTTTGAATTGTCCATCAAAGGAAGTCTTTTATTTGCAATAGATAAGAGACTTCTATTGATGGATAATTCTTTTTCATTTCTAACATTAATATGTTAAGCGGTGTCGTTCCTGATCATGTTATATGCTCAAATACAGTTTTTTAAAACGTATGTACTCAACCTACCAAATAATTTCTGGCTCCAGAGCTATTTCAGTTTCTTTGGGACCTTTTGCAATCTCAAGAATGTCACCCACTTTAAGAAATGCTCTGCTGACATCATCTGCGCCAAACGTTTCAAGGTCGAGAAGAAGCTCGACTTTTTCATACTTCTTTTTTCCATTAAACATGCAGGTTTTATTCACCAAAATCCATGCTTCCCGGTTTGTCTTTCGGATAACAACACCCTCTACCTTGAAATCATCCTGCCCAAGAATATTAAGAGAAGTTCCGCTTTCACTTTCCTTGCGTTTATCTGCAGCCTCTTCTGTATATGTATAACGTTCAAGCTCGCGAAAAAACTGTGGTATCGTTTTATGGGTCAATTTGAAGTTTTCCGACTTCTTCTTGTCAATGAACACCTTCAGTAACGCCTTTCGATATCTGTATGTGTCATGGTAAGTTTCAAGTTTGTAACAAGAGCTATCTTTGATAGTATTTTTCCCTCTTGTAGCTACTTTCACCCCAGTTAAGAATTCCTCGTAACGCTTCCGGTAATCTTTCTGGAGCAATCCATCTTCGCAAAATCTATCGATATCTTCATTCGCCATATTTTCCATGAAGGTATGCTACCTTTATGGAAAACTTTCACTGAGGTTGTCCACAAGTTGTTACCTAAGGGAGGGGGTGTTGGAGAGCGCTGAAGTCGTCACTAAGTATCACGCGGAAGTGTTGATCTGGGTGAGTATAACTTGTATCCGCATTTAGTTAATCTTCTTGTCTCGGCTCAGGAAAGTGGGTTCTGGGACCCAAAACAGAGTAGAAGAGAAGAAAGAAGATGTTGTGCACTTGAAAACTTAGTCTTCCCCTATTAGGAAATATCTCTTCAATATGTAATTATGTTTTTCCCGGAAAGACTGAACGTCAAGTCAGAGGTCAATTTCGATGAATCGCTATCCTTTAGCTTCTCAGTCGTTTGTTTCAGAACAAGAAATACATCCTTTCCCTCGTAACTTTACCGTAATTCGCTGAACCAAAGCGTCAAGAAACACGTTCCTCTTAGGATCATTAAGCACCTGCCAGTACGACCAGTCGTAAAGACCCCTGAAGCTTGCTTCGCGTTCGTTCTAAATTTGAGGTAATGTTCTTGCTATTATTAGAGAGCGTGTTTACAGTGAAGAAATGTAAAATGGTTTCCGTGTTTACATAGCCTGATGTAAACACGCGGGAGGTTGGGAGAACACTCGATAAGCTGGAAACCACCATAAAATAGCTACGTAATGAAAGAGGAACGAAAACCGCGTTTACATACGCTCATGTAAAATGGTTTTATGGCCAATCAGAGCGCGCGCACTATCTGAATTGTTTTATAAAGTGAGATATCCAGCGAACGTTCGTGTAATGCAAAAGGTTTGTAAGTCTTTCCTTAGGTGTGTATGTTTAAATGAGACATAATCGTCATGAAACAGCTTAATTATGAACAAGAAACAAGTCGATGGAAATCTTAGGACCGTAGACTCGTCGAATTAAAGGTCCATCAGAGACAATCTCTTTTGAGTGACCAAGTTTACAAAAGCAGAAATTTTTCTCAATGTCATCAGCTCTCAGAAGCTCTCATGAAGGAATACGTCCACTTTCTTCGCCAATTATTTGAAGTATTTCCATTTACGACCTCACTTAGGTCACCAATTTACGCGTGAATGAGATTTTGCAATGAGCCAAACTTAAATACGTATACGGTATCAAAGTTGTTCTTACATGGGGCTCTCCATAACACGGTCAAATGTCCAGTAGCCAGGCACACTCGCCCGGAAGTTGGGGATTTTACAGACTTTTTACTGAAAGAATTTTTGGGATCGCTCGACATTTCTAAACAAACCGAAAAACATGATATCAAAGGGAAGTTTGAAAGAATATTTCAAGAGAAATTTTCTGAAAATTGCCTAGCTTCCAGGTATTTTATAGTCTGTTTGAGATCGTGAGCAGCTGCTGGGCATTTGGCCACAGTGTAAAACGTTTTATTTCCTGTCGCCTTTCCGTTCAGGAAAGTGAGTCGCAAAAAATATGGGAAGCAGAGGGAGCCTGGGTATGAGCATCCGCTTGCAAATCGCTTTCGTAAAACAATTCATAGTGGTAATTGACCTAAATGAGGTGCACCTTAGTCGGCACGATTTGAAATCAGAAGTATGATTTCAGACCAAAATTGTGCAACAGAAATTTCAATTAGCACTATATTACATTAATTTTGAAATGGCCAAATTCAGTTGCTTGGATACAGGATTTAGTCAGAGCTAGCTGTAGAAATATGTTATTGATTCAGTAGTGAACTGGTTTATGGAAAGTTGCAAACGTTGTTTTCATTATCCTGCAATTTGATTGATTTCTTTAAACAAGTTCTGTGACAAGTTCTTGTATCTGACAATTTTAAATGTGAATTCTTGGAAGTTCAGAGTGGAACTTCCATTTAGGTGACACCACAGGACTAGAAAAAATGTCCTCTGAATAGACGTTTCAACTGGGAGGGGAACAGATGCAATGGTTAAGAGTGTGTCCATGAGAGCTTCAGGCAGTCGTGCTGCACCCCATCTCACCGGTTTCAGTGAAACTTTGCTAGTTAAAAGGGTCTACCCCAAAACTCAAACAGACAGACCTGTTTTTTTTTCAGGTTTGGTTATTTCTGGGGGGAAATAGAACACCCCCCGGTTTTTCTTGGTTTTAGCTGAGGAAATCATTGCAAAATAGGTAAAATGTATGAAGCTCTTACTCTGATGGTATCTAGTTGATTACTCTAAGGGTTTGCTTAGTACATATTGTTACATCCTTAATTAATGTACAACACAATTATTGATCAATTTGATGGAAAGCTTGTCAATCAACAGAGACAAATGAATGACTAAGTTATTAGACCTTTCAATTCATCCAAATATTTGATAACTTTGAAGCCAAATTTCTCTCCCTGCCAGAATTCTAAGAAGCATCAAAAAAATGTTTGGGCACTGCTGTATTTTTGTTATGAATGCCTTTTAAAATCTGTAACCGTGACAAGCTTCTCTCAACTACACCTGTCACGCAATTTTGGCTCAAAATCAGTAAATATGTCTTTTGTACGGCACAAAACATTCATTAGTCTATGCTTTGATTGTTTATTATGCAAATATGTTATTGATCCAGTGGTGCATGAGCTGGTTTATGGGAAGTTGCAAACGTTGTTTTCATTTACCTGTGATTTAATGATTGGTTTCTTTACGCAAGCTCAATGGGAAGTTCATGTATTGGACAATTTAAATCAGAACTCTCGAAATTTCAGGGTAGAACTTCCAATGGGACATTTTACAGTTGTATACTTAGTTGTCAAGGGCACATAAGGAAGCAAATTGCGATCGCGTTGTTGATGATTTGCATTCATGACTTCGCGTTTATGATTTCACATTCATTTTACTGAGTTTGGAGAGAAAAATTAACCTGAATACTACTCCAAGGCTAGTTATGAGTGGAAGAAAGAGATAGAATGCAAATGAAAGAAAAATTTATAATCTTTGGCAGAGATGTCGAGTGTGTCTTTGAAAGGTGAAGAATCAAAAGGACAAGAGAAGAAAGATGAACATAAAAAACGAAAAGCAGAAGGCCAACCAAGCTGGCATGAAAAAGCTGTCACTGCAAATTTCAAGGAGGAAGAAATAGACATCCCAAAGAGAAAGGTGGGACTTATAATAGGAAAAAAAGGTTGGAGAATAATGGACATAATCACCCGAAGTGGAGTCCAGGACTTGTTCATCAAGGAAGAACGTGTTTACATAAAAGGAACAGATGAACAACGCACCTGTGCAAAACAAATTATCAGAAAGGTCCTATGTGTGAGTTTTACATTTATTTTTACCCCTTTTATGTTATTATTTATTGTGTTGTTTTGTTAACTTCCTCATAGCCATAGAAAAACTTATGCAAAGCAAAGTTTGCACTGATGATTCTAGTGGTTAGCATAAATGTTAGTGACTGTGAGTGGGTCACAAGGCCCGCCTATTTTCCATCCTTAAATCTTTCCTTCCTTCCATCTCTCCATTTTCCTGTCCTTCCATCCTTCCATCTTTCCATTTCTCCATATTTACTTCCTTTCTTCCCTCTATTCTTCTGTCCTTCAATCCTTCCATCCTTACATTTCTCCTTATTTGGTTCCTTCCATCTATTCTTCTGTCCTTCAATCCTTCCATCCTTACATTTCTCCTTATTTGGTTCCTTTCTTCCCTCTATTCTTCTGTCCTTCAATCCTTCCATCCTTCCATTTCTCCTTATTTGGTTCCTTTCTTCCCTCTATTCTTTTGTCCTTCAATCCTTCCATCCTTACATTTCTCCTTATTTGCTTCCTTTCTTCCATCTATTCTTCTGTCCTTCAATCCTTCCATCCTTACATTTCTCCTTATTTGCTTCCTTTCTTCCCTCTATTCTTCTGTCCTTCAATCCTTCCATCCTTACATTTCTTCTTATTTGGTTCCTTTCTTCCCTCTATTCTTCTGTCCTTCAATCCTTCCATCCCTCCATTTCTCCTTATTTGCTTCCTTTCTTCCATCTATTCTTCTGTCTTTCAATCCTTCCATCCTTCCATTTCTCATTATCTGCTTCCTTTCTTCCCTCTATTCGTCTGTCCTTCAATCCTTCCATCCTTCCATTTCTTCTTATTTGCTTCCTTTCTTCCCTCTATTTTTCTGTCCTTCAATCCTTCCATCCTTCCATTTCTCATTATCTGCTTCCTTTCTTCCCTCTATTCGTCTGTCCTTCAATCCTTCCATCCTTCCATTTCTCATTATCTGCTTCCTTTCTTCCCTCTATTCTTCTGTCCTTCAATCCTTCCGTCCTTCCATTTCTCCTTATCTGCTTCCTTTCTTCCCTCTATTCTTCTGTCCTTCAATCCTTCCATCCTTCCATTTCTCCTTATCTGCTTCCTTTCTTCCCTCTATTCTTCTGTCCTTCAATCCTTCCATCCTTCCATTTCTCCTTATTTGCTTCCTTTCTTCCCTCTATTCTTCTGTCCTTCAATCCTTCCATCCTTACATTTCTTCTTATTTGGTTCCTTTCTTCCCTCTATTCTTCTGTCCTTAAATCCTTCCATCTTTACATTTCTTCTTATTTGCTTCCTTTCTTCCCTCTATTCTTCTGTCCTTAAATCCTTCCATCTTTACATTTCTCCTTATTTGCTTCCTTTCTTCCCTCTATTCTTCTGTCCTTCAATCCTTCCATCTTTACATTTCTTCTTATTTGCTTCCTTTCTTCCCTCTATTCTTCTGTCCTTCAATCCTTCCATCTTTACATTTCTTCTTATTTGGTTCCTTTCTTCCCTCTATTCTTCTGTCCTTCAATCCTTCCATCTTTACATTTCTTCTTATTTGGTTCCTTTCTTCCCTCTATTCTTCTGTCCTTAAATCCTTCCATCCTTACATTTCTCCTTATTTGCTTCCTTTCTTCCCTCTATTCTTCTGTCCTTAAATCCTTCCATCTTTACATTTCTTCATATTTGCTTCCTTTCTTCCATCTATTCTTCTGTCCTTAAATCCTTCCATCTTTACATTTCTCCTTATTTGCTTCCTTTCTTCCCTCTATTCTTCTGTCCTTCAATCCTTCCATCTTTACATTTCTTCTTATTTGGTTCCTTTCTTCCCTCTATTCTTCTGTCCTTCAATCCTTCCATCTTTACATTTCTTCTTATTTGGTTCCTTTCTTCCCTCTATTCTTCTGTCCTTCAATCCTTCCATCTTTACATTTCTTCTTATTTGGTTACTTTCTTCCCTCTATTCTTCTGTCCTTAAATCCTTCCATCCTTACATTTCTCCTTATTTGCTTCCTTTCTTCCCTCTATTCTTCTGTCCTTAAATCCTTCCATCTTTACATTTCTTCTTATTTGGTTCCTTTCTTCCCTCTATTCTTCTGTCCTTAAATCCTTCCATCTTTACATTTCTCCTTATTTGCTTCCTTTCTTCCCTCTATTCTTCTGTCCTTCAATCCTTCCATCTTTACATTTCTCCTTATTTGCTTCCTTTCTTCCATCTATTCTTCTGTCTTTCAATCCTTCCATCCTTCCATTTCTCATTATCTGCTTCCTTTCTTCCCTCTATTCGTCTGTCATTCAATCCTTCCATCCTTCCATTTCTCCTTATTTGGTTCCTTTCTTCCATCTATTCTTCTGTCCTTCAATCGTTCCATCTTTACATTCCTCCTTATTTGGTTCCTTTCTTCCCTCTATTCTTCTGTCCTTCAATCCTTCCATCCTTCCATTTCTCCTTATTTGCTTCCTTACTTCCTTTCATTTTTCTGTCCTTCAATCCTTCCATGCTTCTATTCCTACTTATTTGTTTCCCTTCTTCCCTCTATTCTTTTGTCCTTCAATCCTTCCATCTATTCTATTTCCCCTATCTGCTTCCTTTCTTTCTTCCATTTTTCTGTCCTTCAATCCTTCCATCCTTCCATTTCTCCTTATTTGCTTCCTTTCTTCCATCTATTCTTCTGTCCTTCAATCCTTCCATCCTTCCATTTCTCCCTATTTGCTTCCTTTCTTCCATCTATTCTTCTGTCCTTCAATCCTTCCATCCTTACATTTCTCCCTATTTGCTTCCTTTCTTCCATCTATTCTTCTGTCCTTCAATCCTTCCATCTTTACATTTCTCCTTATTTGCTTCCTTTCTTCCATCTATTCTTCTGTCCTTCAATCCTTCCATCCTTCCATTTCTCCTTATTTGCTTCCTTTCTTCCATCTATTCTTCTGTCCTTCAATCCTTCCATCCTTCCATTTCTCCTTATTTGCTTCCTTTCTTCCATCTATTCTTCTGTCCTTCAATCTATCCATCCTTCCATTTCTCCTTATTTGCTTCCTTTCTTCCATCTATTCTTCTGTCCTTCAATCCTTCCATCCTTCCATTTCTCCCTATTTGCTTCCTTTCTTCCATCTATTCTTCTGTCCTTCAATCCTTCCATCCTTCCATTTCTCCCTATTTGCTTCCTTTCTTCCATCTATTCTTCTGTCCTTCAATCCTTCCATCTTTACATTTCTCCTTATTTGCTTCCTTTCTTCCATCTATTCTTCTGTCCTTCAATCCTTCCATCCTTCCATTCCTTCTTATTTGGTTCCTTTCTTCCCTCTATTCTTCTGTCCTTTAATCCTTCCATCTTTACATTCCTTCTTATTTGGTTCCTTTCTTCCCTCTATTCTTCTGTCCTTCAATCCTTCCATCCTTCCATTCCTTCTTATTTGGTTCCTTTCTTCCATCTATTCTTCTGTCCTTCAATCCTTCCATCTTTCCATTCCTCCTTATTTGCTTCCTTTCTTCCATCTATTCTACTGTCCTTCAATCCTTCCATCTTTACATTCCTCCTTATTTGGTTCCTTTCTTCCCTCTATTCTTCTGTCCTTCAATCTTCCATCCTTTCCATTTCTCCTTATTTGTTTCCTTACTTCCTTCCATTTTCTGTCCTTCAATCCTTCCATCCTTCTATTCCTACTTATTTGTTTCCTTTCTTCCCTCCATTCTTCTGTCCTTCAGTCTTTCTATCCATTCCATTTCTCCTTATTTGCTTCCTTACTTCCTTCCATTTTTCTGTCTGTCAATCCTGTCGTTACTTTTTTTTCTTTTTTTTTGGAGTTGCGTGACTGATAACCTCGTTTTGAAATTGTGAGCCTCGGTTCCAGCTACGTACCTCGTAAAAAATACGTATTGCGGACGTTTTTTGAGAGAGCAGAGATTTTGAGTTGTGTTTTCCTAGTGATTTGAGTTTTCACTTTGTGAGGATTAAACCTTTTATTCGAAACGGAAGTTTTGTTCCCACAATCCTTCCATCCATTCCATTCGGTTCCTCCCTATCTGCTTCCTTATATTCTTATTTCTCCTTATTTGGTTCCTTTCTTCCCTCAATTCTTCTGTCCTTCAATCCTTCCATCTTTACATTTCTTCTTATTTGGTTCCTTTCTTCCCTCTATTCTTCTGTCCTTCAATCCTTCCATCCTTACATTTCTTCTTATTTGGTTCCTTTCTTCCCTCTATTCTTCTGTCCTTCAATCCTTCCATCCTTACATTTCTCCTTATTTGCTTCCTTTCTTCCCTCTATTCTTCTGTCCTTCAATCCTTCCATCTTTACATTTCTCCTTATTTGGTTCCTTTCTTCCCTCTATTCTTCTGTCCTTCAATCCTTCCATCCTTCCATTCCTTCTTATTTGGTTCCTTTCTTCCCTCTATTCTTCTGTCCTTCAATCCTTCCATCTTTACATTCCTCCTTATTTGCTTCCTTTCTTCCAACTATTCTACTGTCCTTCAATCCTTCCATCTTTACATTCCTCCTTATTTGGTTCCTTTCTTCCCTCTATTCTTCTGTCCTTCAATCTTTCCATCCTTTCATTTCTCCTTATTTGCTTCCTTTCTTCCCTCTATTCTTTTGTCCTTCAATCCTTCCATCCTTCCATTTCTCCTTATTTGCTTCCTTTCTTCCCTCTATTCTTCTGTCCTTCAATCCTTCCATCCTTACATTCTTCCTCATTTGCTTCCATTCTTCTGTTCCTGCATCCTTCCTTCCTCCCTTCCTTTCCTCCCCCTTTCTTCTTTTCTTCTTTCCTTCTTTCTATTGTTCGTTCCTTTCTTCTTTCCCACTTACTTTCCTTCCTTCCAACCCTCCTTTATCTCTACCCTCTCCCTTGCCTCCTCTCCCTCCTACTTCCTTTGTTTCTGCCTTCCTTCCTTCCGTACCTTCCTCCCCTCTTTCCTTCCACGCTTTGTGTCACTTTCGTTCCTTCATTTTCATGCGCGCCTCCCTGTTTCTTTCCGTAATTTTTCTCACTCCCGTAACTACATTTAAAGCTCAATATTTTTTTTGCATTTTAAACATGTCAACCAGGGAGAAGACAGCCCTGACCGAGGGTCTTGGGAAGAGTTGACCTTCATACCAGAAGATTTCATGGCTAAAGTAATTGGGAAAAACCGTATGAATTTGGACAAAATAGAAGCGAAAACTAAGGCAACTTTGAAAGTCTCTGAGAAGAATAGCTTGTATATCAAGGGATCTCCTGAGAGCAAGAAGCAAGCTATTCGGGAAATAAAGGAAACCATGGTAAGTCGCTCTGTGACATATAGCGTACTTTGTGAGATTTTTCAGGTGGATATCACCAAGGGACAGAATACCAATATCCAGCGACTCCCAGAATATTATCAAGTTGCAAGCAACGGAGCGAATCAGTCAATGAGCAGTCAGTTAATTTGATTTTGCTTGTCTGTGCTTGCTAGTAAGCTGAGTTTAAGGTACAACTTCCATAATTGACCACCGCTAATGAAAACCAATTACCCAATTCCTAATGCAAGCACAACTCGATCGCCTGCAGAATCTCTGTTCCCCTTGGGAGCCTGATAAAAAGATTATGGTAACAGGCTTCAGTGACCAGTGGATAAAACATATCTTTAATGGTGAAGACATCAGTGGCCATAATCAGGTAACAAGCCCAACATGTCCTCTTGATAAATCCCACACAATACGTATGATTTTGAAATTACAGAGGTGTATATTTAACAATTATTCGCCTCAGGTTCAGTGAATGTTGTTGAATTATCGTCTCGAGGATTACTCAACAGTGTTCACTGAGCCTGAGGCGATAATTGTTTTAGTATAATTGCTCAGGTGCTGGTGATTACTCGTATCAAGATAAGCAAGGAGCTTTGGCAGGTCTATTTAATTAAATCAACAAAAACTTAATATCCTTCTTTTGCTTTTCGCGGTTGAATTTTCTTCTATCGTGCTCATCACTTCCTCGCAAACATTGACAAAAGGCGAGGCAACCACTTTGAAATTTAGCACTCCTGCCACAATTACCTCGCGCTTCCTCGCGCGAGGTGATTATAGTTAGGTAGGACGTAATCCTCGACCCATCAGAGCGCGTGCATCTCTCTAATAACCGGAACAATTACACCAAATGCCTATTGAATTCAAAGGGAACGTTACTTACCATGTTATGTATGCGATTATCATTTTTTTCCCCTATGAAGAATGGAGGCAAGGAAAAATACGTTGCAAAAGTTGTCCATGTGGACACTGCACATTTGGAAGAAGACCATGAGTTTAAGCTATCCATCGCACAACCGCCACCAACCAGAAACAAGTATTTCAAATTAAAACTACAGGACGATCCTTTAAAAGGGGTATGTCGTTGAATTCAAATCTGTCTTGAAGGAAATACCTAACAAAAAATGCTGTGAAAGCTAATAATTTTATTTTTTCTTTAATTATTCAACCCTATTTTTATCGGAACCCTCCTGGGAGTACTGGAAGAGGGCTTCGACCACCGTTTCAACTTGAAAAAGAATAGTTCGTTGAGACACTCACGGAAACAGAACCAGTTGTGCTGGTCCCTTCGCTCGCAAGACTCGATTACTAACTATCCTTTCTAACTACCATAGATTCTCTTTAATGTCCCTTTTGAAAATCTCTTGGTACAACAAGACGATATTTGCTAGATGGTAATCTAGGAGTTTTAATGATATTGCAAGCAAAAGTTACACATCAACCCATTCCGTCGGCCAAAAACTAGTTTAGCCAGCAGGCTTCGTCTTTAACTTGCTTAGCGGCCCATGGGCGAGTGTTTTGGAAGTAAAAAGGCGGCACTACAGGAGATTCAGCATAAAAGTACAGAACTGCAGTTGCTTCGTCGTCTTACATTAGAGCTACATTCAGGTTTTTATACCAACGATGTGATGAAATCATGTCGAGAAATCACCTGTATTGAAGAGAATTTAAGAACTGCAAACACCAGGTCTATTTATCTCTTAGACTTTTTCTTATCCACGAAACTGTGCGTGATGGTTCTTGTGAACGTCTCACTATGAAAGGTGTGTTTTTAGATCTTGCCGGCTACTTCAACTAATGAATGTATTATTTCAAAGGAAACACCCTCTGGTTTTGTGGGCACGGAAATCCTAGAAGAAGAGGTCCTGCGGTTTTTGAAGCAAATTCACAAAAAGAAGGAGGAGGAGATGGTCATGGTAGTTATTTCGTGTTATTTTGGTCACGCCTACCTAATCAAGATTAATGAAGGTCAGTCCTGTAGATTTTATGAGTCTTTCGGCGAATTGGTGAGGTATCAATTAGAGATTTTTTCATACTTCTTTCGGTAGATGAAGAGGATGACATCTTCACCCTGAAGGAGGTCAAAGCGAGAATTGAATCAAAGGATGACGATCGTTGGGAGACAATATTCCGGAAAGTTGAGACAATCGAAGTTGAGCAGACTGAAAAGTCTCTCAAAGCTTATGCATGCACAGCTAGTGATGACCTACGATACGACCTCACCTTCTTAACGCCATCTGGTTTAGAATTTCTAGTCAAGGTAATTTAACCATGTACCAAATGATTTTTTCTGCCGGGTTGGGGCTACCGTCGCCTCTAGACTATGGTCACTAAGCAAGGACATTCAACCCGAAAAAAGCATCTATGTCAAGCTAAAGGTAGGCAGATGTCGAACCCAAGCTGATTCGCGTCTCCACCTTTGTTCGTTAATCCTTAAGCATCGTTAACTAGGCCTAAGATGCCATCACCTTTCTAATTGTGTTTACTACCATTTCGTTCACTTTAAATTAACCAATTAAAACGTTCGATGGAGAAAAATGCTAGATTTCCATCCTCATCATCCTAACCCAAACATGTGCCGAATCATTTTTCCTGCCGGGTTGGGGCTACCGTTGCCTCTAGACTAAGGTCACTAAGCAAGCACACTCAACCCGAAAAAGACATCTATGTCAAGCTAAAGGTAGACAGATGTCGAACCCAAGCTGATTCACGTCTCCACCTTTGTTCGTTAATCCGTTAAGCATCGTTAAGTAGGGCTATGACGCCATCACCTTTCTAATTGTGTTTTACTGCCATTTCATGTACTTTAAATTAACCAATTAAAACGTTCGATCGAGAAAAATGCTAGATCTCCGTCCTAACCATCCTAACCCAAACATTAAGCCATGTTAGCTCAGATAAAAGGAAATTTTACAACCCCCACAGTTCACATAGCGTTCAACAGCTTTTTATTAACTCTATTAAAGCTCCTGAAGGCGTGTTTCTACTCTACCAAAATGTTCTTAACGATCTGGCCTTCTATACTTTTTATCAAACCTATGGTGTCCATTGATTTTAAGGTAGCTCTGTGAGCACCATGGTGTTCTATTATGCATATTGTATCAAATAGTGTACAGGAGATAACACGACGAATTAAGGGATATTGTCTTGATTTGTGATCCTTATACCTTGAGCAGTTTCAAGTAATTTTTGCTGATGAACTCTGAGCTATCGAAATAGAGGCTGTGTAGGGTTCGTAACACTGCAGTAACAGACAAGCATGATTACACGTCTAGCAGAAGAGAGCCTTCTGACATTTTGTTTCGCGTCTGGCCAGTAAAAGAATATAAAAGTGTTGTTAAACCAGTTCACCAAGATTTCACTTACAGACGGTGTAAATTAGCCAGGGCCCGACCAAATTTTCCCTCTTTATTTGTTATCATTATCCCTCTGTTATTAGGTATGGCTCATCGAAAAAGAACCTGGGGTCGAAGGCGCTTCAGCGTCTTCCCTGGCGTTCCGTCGCAGCCCTCAACTTTCTGTCAGAAACGCCTTGACAGAAATCTTGCATGACGACCATAGTGGAGATACATCGAACTCACCAATTTTCTACATCAGCGATACATTTAATCAGCAAATGACAATCGACATTCTATCGCCGTCTGCAGGATTTGATTGCCGTTTGAAAATACGAACATGTAAGGAAACGTTTCTCTCAAACTTAAGATCAAAGAAATATTATGATTCTGTATCATATGATTCTGCGTGTTATTTACTTCTCTAGATATGACTTTGGGACATTTATGATAATATAGTTGCTTACAACTTCGTGGCATTTCCTTCCCATTCAAGAACAGAAAAATTTCAGGCTAAATAGGTTATTAGCACGCCAGACTAAGTTTGATGGTCACCTTAAGCCTGGTCGGTGAAAGGGCAGGGCCTAAAATCTGAATATAATTAACTTCAAGTGGTTGGTCCACCCATCACATATAATGAAATTGAAATGGCGATAATTTAAGGTTTGAGACTCGAATGAAAAAAAATTGCATGTATGTTACTATGCAGAACAAAAAGGACATAGTCTGACCTCACTTCTTTCCTCTTTTAGTTCCAAAGTTTCCACAAACAAAACCACAAGCAGAAAAAGAGCGCAAACTTTTAGAAAACTACCTCATGAAGATGAGGATTGATGATGGTCAGCTGAAGTTTCCACCAATTTCCGAGCTACCAGATGGGTTTGACCTGTCTTTTCAGCGCCGCTGCCTTCGAAAGACATATCGGTATGAACATGACGGAGACGCGTTTACTTTAACGGTTAGCAAAGACCAGTTAAACAAAGTGAATGCCGACCAGACTGATGCGTACAGTTTCAATGAATCAGAAGCGAAGGTATTGTTAATCATACACAAACAGTTTAACACTTATATACATTTCCCTGATTCAAATTCGTCCTCACCATCAGGTGCAATTCTTCATGAATATCATTTCTTCGTTCGATCACAGGTGGCCTAGTTAGCGATATGAGCTCATATTTATTTTGTTTAAAACCTGATATCTGAAGGAGTAGCATAACTACGGTTTAGATACACGAAACTCGACTCTATTTTGGAACATATGGAGATGCATTTGTAGGATTGAACAGATTCGATTGTACAGGGAAAGCAACGGAATCGGGCTTAGAGGCAGATGTTCATTTTTGCCCTAAGATTAACTTAAGCCAAAACCTTGTTGCCTTGCCTGTTGTTCCGTCGCTTTTGATGCCTGAGATGTTAAGTGTCCACCAAACAGCCTTGCTTGTCCCTTCGCTCACTGAGTCATCGGTGCGTTACTTACTTGCATCATACTACATTATACCACATCACAACGCATTCGCATCACATCATGTCTATCCAAATCACATCATATTCACTTTTACATTCACGTCACATTCACTTTTACATCCACATCATATTCAAATCACTTTACATTCACATCACATCATATTCACTTTCACATTCACATTCGCATCACATTACGTTCACATCACATTCACTTTAACATTCACGTTTACATCATATTCAGGTCACATTACGTTCACATCACATCACATTCACATCAAATCATATCACGTTACATGCACTTCACATTACATCACATCACACCACATTCACATTTACATCATATTCACATAACATTACGTTCACATCATATCACTTTCACATCAAATCACATCATGTTACATTCACATCCCATCACATTCACATTACATCGCATTCACATTACATCACATTCACATTACATCATATCTCATTCACATCACATTTACATGACATCACATTACATATACGTCATATTTACATCACATTACGTTCACATTACATTCACATAAAATCCCATCCCATTAAATTCACATCACATCTCACACGTCACATTCACATCTCATTCACATCATATTACGTTTACATCATATTCACATTACCTTACATTCACATCACATTCACATCAAATCACATTACATTCACATTCAGCTTCATATCACATCTCATTCACATCACACCACATCACATTACATTCACATTATATTCACATCACATTACGTTCACATCTCATTCACATCACACCACATCACATTACATTCACATTATATTCACATCACATTACGTTCACATCTCATTCACATCACACCACATCACATTACATTCACATTATACTCACATCACATTGCATTCACATCACATTCACATCACATCTCTACATTTACATCCCACCTCCCAAAGTGGGCAGCTCGGTGACGTGTCTTTATTAATTACTTTACAAGATACAGGCAATAAGCGAAAAGGGTCGCATTTATTAAACAGTTATGTCCACTCATTTGGAAAATTTGAATAAGATTCGGTTCTTAATAGAAGTAAACTTTTGGTAACAAGAAGTGAATGGTCGGATTAACGTCGTTGTAAAATATTTATATGAGAGGACCCACAATTCATCTGAAGCGTGACCATGAGGTATCGTGGAGTTACAATCAGTAATTATTTCTGTGCTTAAATGGGATCAGTTGATGTGAGTATTGCTACAGCATTTGTATATTGTTTTTAATTTCTTTGCATTACTAATGTTTTTTGTTTGTTTAATGTCTTTTGTCAATCATGAAAAGCCGAATGTTCATCTCAACTGTGAAGAATGGGACCAAGTACTAAATGAGGGAAACTGGGAACCGGAGCAGATTACTGCCAAGCTTCCTAAATTTTTACAGTTTCTAAGGAAAGTTCAGGGAAATGTGGCCCTCTGTAATAGCAAGTGACGAGTGATTCCAGCGAAGAGCGAGCCTCATAGAACCCCTCCCTAAGATACGTCACAGCAAGATGCGTCTGTTTGTTACGTAACCTGGTTGTCCTGTGACTTCATGAGGAACGTTGATTACCCACTTCACTACATTAGCTTCTATAAAAATTGCACATGGACTTCTACTATATATGGTCCGGTCACGTGTCTGATCCCTGAGATTATGATTTTGTTTTTGTGTAAGCCTACGATCAATAAACGCGTCTTGCTATATTTGTCGAAGTAAACGTTTTCCTTCAAATACTGTTACAGCTAAGGAAAAGTATGCTGTATGTAAAAGACCATTAAATCTTCGGCCTCATCGCCCTTTAAACCTCTGCAGGCGAGGCAACTAGTCTCTAGCGTCTCTCGCTTTAGAAAATCAGAAAACTTCTAGCAGGGCGAATGCTGTGGGGCGTTTTGGGTCTCTTAAGTGCAAGCAGAGAGATCTTGCATGGTTGGATGTAAGAAATGACCACGAAGTGTTCTTCACAGACTAAAGAAGAAGTTGATAACACTTGATTATGTAAACTTTTGGGTGGGAGAGCTTCTGTTTGAAACCGCCCAGCTGGAATTTCATCCGATAACACGGTATACAAAGCTGAATATGTTCTAAGGTTATAAGCCTACGTGAGATGAATAGGTTTTCTTTTTTATCAGTTGTAACATTAGGGCCTTTGTTTGCGAGGAAAATAATCTGCGGCTTATATAAGAGGCGAGTTTATTGTATAATGGGTACCTTTCCATTTTTATACACCGCTGCTCATGGTTTTCAGCGTGTCTTTAAGAAGCTGCTGCCAAGAGAAAATAAGGGAACAGAGAGGAGAAATGAGGGTGTTGAATATGTCGATGTATACGAAACGTGGGTTATTTTTAGCTTGGGACGGAAAGCAATGTGGTTTCCTAACATAGTTTCTTCAGGATCCCTTAAGTCGATTTAATATCAAAACAGCCAATATCCTCGCTGTTCTCTAATACATCAATCTTACTTACAGGTGATCAAGACCCACTGAAAGACGACGGATATTTTTCATTTTCCGTCAGAAAAAGGCCATGTGCGAAAAGAAAAGCAATGCGTGACCTTTGCGATTAAATCATTACGTAACAACCGTTTGATTTAGCGAAACGTGACTCTTACCTCACAGCAAATGGAGGTGTTGTATTTCAAGAGCTCATTACTTGGGCTTCCTGTGGAAAAGCCTGAGGCAAGAGATTGTAAACTGTTAATAATGTCTTTCCTAAGCTTATAATTACCTTGTGGTTCTCGTCTATCTTCCTAAAAGGCATTTCCAGCGTTCTGCACAAGCGCTGATGATCAGGCTCCGACCTTAAGGCCTCTTGAAGCATTTGTGGTTACTGGTTAATGGTTTTTAACAAGTTTAAACTCAAATTCTAACCAGTACGTTCTTGCAACTGACTTAAAATCATTTTACCTTGAAATGTGGTGTTTGATAGCACAATATTAATTATTTTTTATCAAAACTTGCGTTTTAAGGTCGCATTCATCTCGCGTGTAATTACGACCTTGAAACATGTCCAAATGCGATATTTCCTAGAACAAGCACCAGTGTCCTTATTCATGATAAAATGATAAAAATAAATGGGATTTAACAGTAAACATTTCAGAGAACGGTCTAGTTGTTCCTGGGAAGTTAACAGCGTACACCAAGGGCGCAGCAATTTAGACAAAAATTAAAAGAAAAGCAAGCACCTGGAAATAGAAAAAAAAGGAAGTGAAATGAAACAATTTTCCTGTACTGATTCAAGTTGGAGCGGAAAGAAACAGAAACAGCTTGATCTTTCTATGTGAGGAAGTGAAAGACGGGGTGACAGGGGCGCTTGCTGACATTATGGGTAAGGCGCATGTTGCGGATTTTCGGTAACTTCGTTGAGTAACGAGATGATGATTTCCCAGACCGTAAGAGTGTGTCAGTTACCTATGGATCTAGCCACTAATGTTGACTTAATAATTGAAGTAAATCATACAGCCAATGGACTCTAATTGTTCTCACGTCTCGTGTTTTTCATCAGATCGTATACAATCCAAGCCATTCACAATATTTTTGGGTTTCTGTCCAATCTCCATTCCTTTTGTTTAATGATGCTTATCATAAATTCTCAAAAAGAAATTTATAATTGAAGATTCGCGTCTCAAAGATAAAGATCGATTTAAAGAACAAATAATGTAAAGAAAACCCCGAGTTGTTAACGGTATCACGTCGCGTTGAACGCGTGCAACGCAGCTCCGTGGCTGAGAGAATTTGGTCATCTATCGCGCGAGTCCGTTCGGGCCAATACTTTCTTTAGCATGCGCGAAAAGCTACACAACGAGCGGAATGCGGGGCATCAAACGAAGGTGACGCTCAAAGTGGATGTTTTAGCTTTTTCATGAGCGATCTTGATCGACAGGTTCTGCACGAACCATGTTTTTGGTAAACAAAATAACAGACAAAAGAGCCCTATTGTTTTCCGCAGCAGAATTCGCTATCTAAGCTACAGCACACACAACTGATACAATCAATGATTTCGAAGCATATTTATTCGATTTTGTTCTCTTTATAGTGACGAACAAGAGTTACCAGACCTACCAAACTTGGGCACCACTTTTTAGATTACTAAAATGCTTTTGTAATCCAGAACCGAAGTGGTAAAAATATTTGAAGGTTTAAGACTAAGCCATATTTTGCAGAGTGGGAATTTGGACCTTGAAAATTAGTCTGGAATCTATTGCTATATTGTTTTGAGGACAAAGTCATACCATTTGCTACCGAATGGCAACAAAGCTGGGGGCAAGGGGTTGTCTTAATAATTAACATTGCATGTCATGCTGAAAAGGACGTTAAGATTACGTTTTCCCCTGATGCTATGCGCTTTCCTCTAAACCTTCCTCATGACTGGAAACGAGTCTGAAGCACAGAATACTACCATGAAAACTTCCCAAGACTCAAATATGGAGCGATGCATATTCAATGGCTCCGAATTTGTTTAATGAAAAATAATTCGTGAGAGAAATTGCGAAAAAACTACGGCTCTCCATCCGAGTCACAGGCTTGAAGTTTCTACATGCTGCAAAAATACCTTATGCACTGGTATGTGTTACAAATTCTGTCTACAAAGGTATTCTACACTTCTATGTGTCGTTTGCATCTTGTAAATTTGACGACTGTTGAAAAAAGTTCTTGCTACTAAAGAAATAACTCTTATAAAAAATACCTTTTTGTTCTCTTCGACTGAAAGCCTTTATACAATTGGATGAATAAAATAAGTAATAGCATCAAAAATGAAAAGATTTTCGCGCATGCCTTCTTCGAAGCTATACAAAATATTACATTAAAAATAGCACTACACAAAAATGACCCTTGACTTGCTGTCAGAACATCCCAACAATTATCACGGAAAAACTTTTTCTATCGGGACATCCCGAGCGCTTGTAAAGGGATGAAATCCTAATGAAACCGTGGAAAAGTCAAGTGAGGTCCAGTTGTAATTACAGAGATTCTAGAATTATGCGTCTGAGCAATTTAGCACCAATTTTAAAATATCTTAATTATTACGTCACTTTTCCAAGAAAATACCCATGAAAATTAAACATTATTGCAGAAATAAAATTAATACCGTGATCGAAACAATCGTTCCTTTCCTTTTTAATGTATACTTGGGAAGCACATTTTAACTTCAAAGAACCACTACCAACAACTCATGAACTTCACTTCGTTATGGCATGAAGTTCTCTTTCCGTACAGGTTTTTTTTTTCATTCATCGAGAAAAGATCACTGTATCTATTTCTTGAGTTGTCTGTTCTCTCTATCTGATGAGAAATTGTGCTGACTTCTCCAACAAAGAGGGCATTGAATCTTTTTCATAAATAATGTTAAAGGGCTCTACCAGCTCTCTGAGACAAGAGGCCTCACGTAATGTGCAACACTTTGTATAGCACTTGTCTTGTTTGTGAAGATATTCCAGTATTTTCGCATCACTTGAAGTTCGCATAATCGCTGAACGAGTCCACAAACAATCGTACCATTTCGTAACAGAACTTGTACTGCTCCTGTCACGGAAAAGACAACCAAAGATTAGCAAGATGCGGATATGACAAGAATAATAAAGTGTACTCACCGAAATGATCATGCATTCAAAAAATTTAATTTTGTAGTTTCACTTGGCATAAACTGTAAAAAACTGTGTCGAGGATCGACGGCGTTAGGTAACAGCAACATGCTCTTCAAGGTCCCGCAAGGATCAAGGGAAAACGGGTCACAAATAGCAAGGAGCAGACTGAACTTATATAACCTAGAGAAAATAATTGTTGGCTAGAAACGAGAATGGAGAAAAGGGTAAGGGTCTGAAAGAGGTATTATACACCTTACGCACTTTGCTCATAAATAATCCCCCCCCCTCCCTGTGCTCATCAGTAATCATCTTAGCCTTGAACTGATCATTTTCATGTGGAATATTATCCAACTTTATCGCATCTTTGAGCATCTTTGAGCATCTTTACAAGTAGCTCTGTCGTGTGCATCTTGGAAATATTTTGAATAAATTCTTCAAGTTTGTTTTTTAAAATCCCTGTTGATATTCTCCATTCAAAAGCGTCCTTATTCCTAAACTGCTTATCGTTATGTCTTAAATATTTGCTTTCTTGCCGTTATTTCATTTAATCGTTTCCTTCAATTTATCACTTCTTTTCTAAAGCGTAAAAAAGGAACGTGACATATCGTGGCATGGATTCGTACGAGAAAAAGAAGATTACGGTCGTAAACTTCGTTTCAGCTATTATTATATCCCCCCTCAGAGCCACAAGACATTTAAGATGCTTATTGGAATAAAGAGTGTCATCATTTGATTTTCCTTACCGCTGTCTGTACCATAAGAGGTCTCTGAGTACGCAAGCGCCGTATGGTCTGAAACATGTCTACTGAACCATCAAGTTTGACCCGCTCCAGCGCTATATTAATAGCGCAGAAAGTGCCAGTACGACCACTTCCATCGCTAGAAGAGAGGGAACCAGAGATAACATTCGTTTCCTTTGCTAATTATGGAATAATAACCAAATTATAAAATGTTTCCGTATTAAACAACGTTAGGAGGGCGACGTGTTTATGTTTCCTGAAAATATTTAGTTGGAACTATAAAAACTGCCATTCGCAATTCAATCAAAGCCAGTAGGTAAAATCTTAAAAATATTCAAATTTGCGAAGTTTAGAACTAGAACACTGACAACAAAATAAACGAGCCCATTGACACCTTAACCAACGGGATACTGCGCATTTTCCGGTGGATGACTTTTAAATTCAATATAGATGTGGATCTAAAAATTGCACAAACTACACGTATTTTGCAGATGGAACATTTGAAGAAATTGATGCCAATCCAGGGAACGATCAAAATTACCAGATTTGATGGGATCAATGTCAGTGTCTGAGGAACTACACACCCACCCCTCCCCTAACCCAAAAACAGTCAACTCATAACAAGTTAGGATTGATGTTGGGTTAAGGGAGGGGTAGGTGCACAGTTGCTCAGATACTGACATTGATCCGTCTCATGTGATACTTTCAAAGGGTTTACCTGCAGTGGACGACTATTGGTCCATTGCCTGTCTGCTGCTGCACCCTTGTGATACATTTCATCATGTCAAGAAGCCCGACACCATTAAGAGGAATTGAGCGCTCTGCCCAGTCCGTGAAATGAAAATGATAAAGGGTGCGCTCTTCACCGCTCTGCAAGAGAAAGCATTGAATCACGATATTATTACCCTGTAGGGAAGGTGCCTTTTAAGGCAATTTAATGTTGCAAGCTCGCGATCGGCTATTCGACCGGCCATGTTTGATTTAAAGCTTGAGTAGACGGTAAGGGTAAGGGGGACGGAGAAAGGGGTGGATTTCTATTAACCCAGCCCCCACCCCTCTCCTTCCTTTGGACCGTCTCTCACCCCCTTGATTCAAATTTCTTTCTCTCCCCAGCCTTCCGCTTCTGTAAAATTAAAAAACGGCCGTTATTACTTTCACCAAGAAAATTCCGAGCCCTCGCTCGCCACAATTACGCCAGCTCTGCAAGCTACGATGTTATCGAATACGATGTTTAAAGCTATCGTGAGCGTGTTTCAATTAGTGTCGTGCGACCAAAACCAAAGTAATAATGACAGACAGTTGGAAAAAAGTGAACTATCATGAGGCACCGTTAAGAACTCATGAAGAAAAGCTGGCTTGATCGCTGGCGCGCGGAACTTGTTATCCAAGGGTCCTTTTTCGAGCCTTAACCCTTTAACCCCTAAAAGTGACCAGCTTCTAATTTCTCCTCACAATATCACCCCTGAATCAAACATTAAGGTCATGAGAATCAAGGAAGTGATCACCAACTCATAAAGCTCTTGATCTTTAAACAAATTCTCCTTGTCAGCGCTTCAGGAAATGTATAGAGGCAGTAAGGAGAATATGAACACTGATGTTAGGGTGTAAAGGGTTAACCCCGGCGGTGAGTTATACGTCGCTTATATGCTACGTTCTCTACTGAGACAACTCTGTTCTGGAGACACTTTTTCCAGTCTTCAGGAAACAGCGGCTGATGGTATCAACCGCTGTTTCCTGTATGGAGGTTTCATTACTGGTCAATTCACTGGAACAGTAATGGCAAAGGTTCTTCAAACCATAGACATCAAGTTACGCACAATACAGCAAACACACCCATATAGTTTTCCTTAGTTTTCTTTCCATCGTAACGAACGCAAAAAGAAAATGTTTATTTTTTCACCTTTGTGTTCGTAATTTTCAGTTGTCTTCTACAGAAACCATTTCTCAGATCTTCCGCTTCAATCTTGATCATCAACAAACCATAAACAATGAACTCCTCTTTGTGAGGCAAATAAGATGCACAGATTCCCTGAAAACGACAAATGAATGCAGCAAATAAGGTAAATCAGGCAAACAAACACACAGACAACTGAAAATTAAAGCCGGAGAAGTCTGCTCAAAAGCCAAGTAGTCCGCCAACAAAAAAATAAGGAAACGTTGAGTAGAAATTGCACCCAATTAGATATCAGACTTAAAACAAAAATCAACTCCCAAACCTCTTCTCTCTCGTTCTGTGTGCATAACATGACAATGCAATTAGCTTCATATTCCCAGGTCATTCGCCAGAAATCAACGACCGTAGTATCCAACGGAGCCTGGGTGGCAATGAATGGCTCGCGCTGCTGGAAACTCTAAAACAGATAGAAAAAAAAACAACGGAGACGGTATGGTTGGAATGAAAACAACACACAACTGCCAAAAACATTTATGGGCACTTGTAGTACAAACCGAAACCCGAAAGCTAAGCGTGAGTTCATCCTATCTCTCTGCTTTTCAAACCAGTCAAGAGAATTTGGTGTTGTACCAAGATAACCCCCTGATTCTGATCATATCCGTAATCGCTAAACTTATTGTCAAACCGTTTCCTGTGTGTATTGCGTTTACGTGTTAATTACCAGTGAGTGTTTGTATGTTTCATTAGTTGTATTGCGTACTTGTGGTTGATGTTTGTATCGTTGCGTGATGTACGTAATTAAGTCGAGTAATTTGTCGCGTTTTGTGTAAAAAGTTAGTCCTGTGGACCAATGTTCATGTCCACTTTGTAAAAAGCAGCGTCGTCGTTTTTGTTTTTCTCCTGTAAAGCGATGCACCGTTAAGGTATATATTTTGCTTTATTGTGAGTTTATTTGTAAGTTTTCGTTCTCTAATATGTACTTTCCTACTCGTGTTTAATACCGTAGGTGTGTAGATGTTTTAAATAAACGATGAACACAATTACGCGTAACTTCGGTTCCAATCACTTTAATCTCATTTTCTTCTCGTCCTTATTTTCTCTCTTTCTTTTCTTTTGCCTTTGATGCATCATATTTAGTAGGGGAGGATCACATCGTTTTCAACGGAAACGGACGGTGATCAGTCATTATTCATGGGGGGGGGGTTGGGGGTTCTCATGGTTTTAAGGAGAGACAAGGGGATCAGTCAATATTTATCGAGGGGGGGTCTGAGAGTCTTTTTTTCTAGAGCCTAAGGGCATTAAGTATATTTTAAGTGACACAACTAAATTCCTCCGATCCCTTACCCCCCCCCCCCCCCACCACGCGTTAAATTATGCCATACCTCTGTCTGCACTATGGCGCTTCTCTGTTGACGGATATGACAGACAAAACCATAGATGTCTACCACCCCCTCAGCATCTATTTGGTCCAACATGGCGTCAAGTACAATGTATGTCGCGATGCGTCCTACACCAGCACTGCAAAATAAATGGCACAGGCCAATAAATATCTTTTATCATAACAACAGTGTCTCTACGAAGAGGAAGAAGGATACAAAAACTTCCAATACAAAATATAAAACAGGTTAAACGCAAATTTCAAAAATCAATTTTCCTCTTCGTCTATTTTTCAAGGGAACTTTGCCCGTCTACCTCGCCGCAATGTTTCGACTCATTTCTGTGGCTGTCGTTAGAGCGTAACGGACGACAGCTGCCAAAAATTATTTCAAGGTCCCATCTCATTACCTGCAATGGGTCAAAATGGGTCCAGAATCCTCTGGCACAGAGGCACGGACCTTCTTCAGGAAAGCAAGCAAGGAGGTTGCGTGGGTAGGGACCCCCTGATCAGGCCAAGCCGTGAAGTGATACTGTATCACCTCACGGGCGCGATACTCGGTTGTGTCTGAGGTCTAAGAAAGATAACAAGGAAAGTCAGTATTCTAGCTTATATGCACCTTAGTCAACTCGCAGTTTCCCTGTTTTATCCTATGTAGCTGGGTAGATATCTTGTACTTTTTTTACACACGTACTTCAAACGAGCTCACAGATCTCAGACTTCAACTGTCCAAGAAATCATTGAATCACAAACGGATTGACAGAACGACTAACTGACTGACTCACCGCTGACTGACTGTTTCAGTCACCAACTTATTGTCTGACTAACTGACTGGCTGACTCATAGAGTGACTGATCGACTAGCTCACTAGCTGATTGACAGACTGACCGACTGACTCACCGACTAACTGTCTGGCTGACCTCCTCAGAGACTGACTCAATGACTGGCTGACTCAACTGACTAAATCATTCACGGACTCATATAGGCTCACTGACCATCTCACTGAAAGCAACGTAGGTACAAATAATCCAAAACAAACTCACCATCTGAACAGAAAACTTTCTAATCACATAGTCAGCAAGTTCTTCCTCATCACCCGGAGAAACCAGAACAGGACCGTACATTTCTGGACTGGCGCTTGGCCAATACTTCAGACACTTTATCTAAAGACGAGTATTCTTGATTTAAAATTCTACTTGCATTCTGAGTGGTTCTTTCTACCTATGACCTATGTATTTATCGGAATTGCCTTGGTGGCAGTAGGAATTTAGTATCCCAAAGTCACAATCACAGGTTTTCTTGCTATAAAAAAAAAAACGTTTTTTGTTCTCTTATACCTTTTCTTAGGAAAAAACACTCCCTCTAAAGCGACAAGCATCACTGCACTGGCGTGCAGTGTCAATCAAAACTCAACTACGTTCAGGCCCAGTCTCCGTCATACTATCAAAATAATGTTCAGTTTAAATGTAGATTAACCTACCCGTCCTCCTTCCACCATGTTTGTAACCATGACAATGATACAAACGCCTTGGTCCCAGACTGTTCGCCAGAAGTCTCCAAATGTGCTAGCAACAGTGCTGATATGTATGTATAAGACGTGATTAGAAATGGCCAGCGCGGAGCGGAATGGCAAAAGAGGGGGGGGGAGGTGGGTCAGAGAATTGTCTCGTACCCCAATATGTGGCACTATGGTCAAGAGCTGTTGTCGAGTCCTGAGGTCAAACCTCAGGTGAAAGGAAAAATAAAGGCCTCGTTAACGCCCTCATAACCCACGTCCGTCTCTGATAGCTTTTGATCTCAAACGAGCAAAACTGGGCGGGGGATCATTTCGTTGGCGTCCAGCCTACATTTACTTTACAAAAATTCCTTAATAATTCGTAGCGTCCGAGAATCCATGACAAAAACCCAACTGCTCAAGTAAATATTATGAGTGAACGTTCAGCATCATTGATGGCAATCGAGTGGGACATTCCCATGGCAAAGGTAGGTTGTTTCATCGAAGCAGAAAGAACACAAAGAAACTCAAACCTTGTGTAGCAATGAACTTGCAGTGATGATTGTAACCCTAAAAATAAAAAATAAACAAATAATAGTCAATAAGGAACTTATCAGGTAGTCCAGTTAACATTGTCAGGCCGGGAGAGACCTCAGTGCAACTCATGGGAGATACTTCACAACCTGATTTTTGCAACTGTGTACAATTGTTATCGTTGCTATAACTGCTCCAAACCTCACACCTTACTCCAGAGCTCATAACACCCAAATATCAGTTTGAAAATTCACCATGCTGTGCACGACATAATTTGTATTGAACTGACAGAGAGAGAATACGTAAGAGCTTCTGTAGTTGGCAATCAATTCCTTAATTCTCATAGCCTGGACTTTTGATTTGGCAATGATCTCGAGAGGAAAAATTAGATACCGATCATTGTAAAGGATAAAGGTTTAAACATTTCATTATTGTTGCTATTTTTTTGTTATTGTACTTACATCAATGAAGTTGGCATTGATATAATCACTTCCTGGATAACCATCCAACTCCACTAATTGCACCCTCGTGTGGTCATCTGCAAATGAGTCAAAGAAGAGCAACACAATTGTGACGGTTGGCCTGACGTGAAGTTTATCAAAAAGCCTAATGCCCGAAAAATATACTCTCTTTCAGATAGTTACCAATTATTTACCGAAGTGGAGGTGAATAGTAGTAGATATTCACCGAGCCACGAAGCGGCGAGGTAAATATCCACCACTTTCACTTAACACTGAGGTGAATAATTGTTTTATTATATACCACACAGCAACCGAAAATATAGTTTCTCTATTTCAATACACCAAAAATGTTAGAAATTAAATTTTTGACGCGCGATTTTGTCTCTTCGGCTGCCCGGGAGGTGAATAGTACTTCCTAAGCGCTTTCGAACTAGCCAATCAGCGTGGGCGAAAAGCACTATTCACCTGTGTGGTATATTCTAATGCGTATTATACGCAGTGCCTGCCACGTTTCATTTTGCTCCTGTAACAAAGGAAAGGGAAATTATCTTAATTCTTAACGGAAATAAATAATTGTATGACCCAAGAAATAGTCATGAGGAAATACCTGAGTAACTGAGATTCGGGAAAGATAAGGGGGAGGGGGTAGGGGCAGAACCCTCTCTCCCCTCTCTAGCTTTCTTTCTTTCTTCTTTTTTTGGGGGGGGGGTTGGTAATTTTGGGCCCCTTTTAATTAAATTATAGAGATTAGCTTCTGGTTATATGGTATACTGGACTTACATGGAATAATGTTCTTGTATCTGTTCTTGGCTTTATTTTCTGGTCTCTGGCTGCTCTCCCATGTGAAGTTTCCTGGTACCCTGATGGACTGCAGTTGGAAAATCAACAAAAAAATCAGAAGTTGTGATTCAGCGTACACCTTATAACAATAAGTGGGGTCTGACCCAACGAGTAGGTTAATAAGCTGCCGGAGACGAGCTCTTGGTCAATGAAAATGAGGAAAAAAAAAGAGAGCGAAAAACGGCAAGAGCCTGGGTTAAAGGAAGTCCTCTGTTACTCTCTTCAGACCCCTTCTTTTCCACCTCGCAACCTCCAATTTCTCGTCTGTCCCCTCGAGCTCAAACCGAAATCCTTGAAGAGAACTGACGACCAAGTGTAATGATGAGCAATCATTCTCAGAGGATGACGTTTATCTATTGGCAAAAATGACTTCTGTAGAAATTCACCCTTAGCTACTAACTCACCACAAACTCTTCTCTAAATGCCTTGTTGCCATCAGCTTGATTGATTTCACAGTATTCTCTCAGCTTTTCAATAGGAATGGGTTTGATTGTTACAAACTTTCCTGGACCCACTACATCTGCAAATTTAAAGAAACAAGATTTTATGTAACACGAGATATATCCATTAAGGAACGTCCAGTGATCTCTATATCACCCATCATACTGACTGCGGGATCTGCCTGGCTTAAAAAAAGATTATACACATTTTCATCGCTCAAAGGTAGATGAATTTTTTAAACTTTAGCTATAAGTTTAAGGTTAATATGATACCTCTAAAAAAACGATTGGCATCCCTTTGAATTTTTGGATTTGGTGAAGACCAAACGACTGGGTGGAAAGTGTGTGACACCAGAGTGTGGTAATCAACTGACTAACCAGATTGATTGATCAGCATTTTTTCTCCACAGAAATAAAGGTATTCTTTCTCCAAGACGGACTGTCTTTTTTGTGCACTCTTCTCCCGGAAAAGGCTATTTTAACCTTCAAACCTAAACTTCACCTGAATTGCCATGTGGGTCATTCAGATTGGCCAACTGGGTCTTAAGTTTAATGTATTTTTCTTCAGCTAATACACCCGACCACTAATGTTCGTTAGATGATAGGGTTTTAAATTTATACACATTCACTCTACTTTATTGTTGAAAACACCACCTTGTTTTAAGGGCTGTTTGGTTTTTAAGGGCTGTTTGGTTTTTAAGGCCTTTTAGAGCATTTTTATCATAGATTTCATTTCTTACTTGCTTTAAATCACAAGGAAAGTTTAAAGTTACTTCTACCTGTTTGTAAAATTTTTAAAGTCAATGAAGGTTCGTAGAAAGTGTACAGGGAGAATTAGCGACACAACTTTGTCCAACCGCAAAAGTTTCAGCATTCTTGATTTGTGTGTATGTCAATATCTCTTCTATTTCAACAGGAATGCAACAGTTGGCACCTTGCCTCCTAAATAGGCACCAACTCCCCACCCCCTTTCCCAGGTAACAACTTCCCACCCCACCCCACCCCCTTTCCCAGGTAACAACTCCCCACCCCACTCCACCACCTTTCCCAAATGGTACATCTGTACTTTTAGGAAGAAGCCCATCCAGCTGAAGCTCGTCGCAAATGGATGGAATGAATGGTTAGTCACCTGTTTTCTGTCACAGATTAGTCAGCCACTTTAGAAGTTCACCCAGCCCCCCCTACAAGTTCACTGCTACCCATTTGTACTCCTGAGTGAAGAGAGACTTTGTGATTGTTAAGTGTCTCGGCCAAGAACACAACACAAAGACCCTGCCAGGTCCAGACCCCTGAACCCTGAGTCCGACGCCCCAACCGATAGAATAACGCGTTTTTTCATAAAACAATCCCAGTTCTAACCCTCTCTACATGACTCGCGGTGTGCAATGTTTTAGTTTAACAATGATCTAGAGGAAAATAATTCCAACAGTACCGTAGTGCAACAGTAGAGGTCTTCAACTATCTGTATCTGTGAGGAACAGTAGATGCAAATTCACGGATCAATAGCCAGTGAATTGATCAGTCTTCTCAATTATAAAACATTTAAGGTCATAAATTTCTAATTGAAGATCTTCATTTTAATCATTAAAGCTTTATTCTCTAGCTTGTAAAAAATGCTGGCTTTTTAATTACCGAGTTGGAGACCAAGGCCAGGTCGTTCAAAGCTGGGTTAAGATAACCCAGGGTTAGTGTGAAATTGGATTTCAGCTCTGAAAGCTTTAAAAGAAAATTCATTGCAAGTTTGTTTAGCTACAAGCTGATGAATGGATGCTCTAAAAAGAATAGAGAACATTATCCCAAAAATGCTTTGAACAAAGGAATGAACAAACCTGGATTAAAATTTAACCTTGGGTTAGTGCTAATTGATCTTTGAACATTTGGGCAGTGACCCAAACATTGTGTGTGCACCCAGGAGTATAAATGGGTAACCTTACAATAGACTGACATCCCATCCAGGGGGGAGTAGCAGCACTCCTTGTCACCTCATGTTATGGAAACTGGGATAAGCTTTACCTACCAACCATACATTTTATGTTTAATATTCAATTTGAATGATCCTACAGGCATTTTACTTAAATACAAAGCTGAAACTTTGCACTGGAACACTCAAATTCTGATTTAACCTCATCGAGTATTGTAAGAAAAATTGTACTGTATTCTTACATATTACTCTTTATCATTTATTTATTGTTCTTAATTAAGCAATCACCTGAACTTAAAGTGCATCTTTTCCAGGCCTCAGAGTTTCTTGATGCTTTATCTCCCAGCACACATCGTGTTTGTTGAAAATATTTTTCTAAAAAATTTATTTATCATTTTGGTTAGATTTATTTGAGATGTATCAGCTACTTCCACTTACCTCTGAGTCAATTACATCATTCGTCAACCTCAAGTATGTAATTTAAATCTTTATATTAAAAAAAGTTACTTATGTTCAGCATTCTCTGGCGGGATTTGGAATAAAATTAAATATATATTTTTTAAAATGTACTAACTGTGCATTAATTTTTGTCTCAAAGAAAAAATTTCCAGAGCCTAATTCATCAAAATTATAGTTTAGAGCCGTTTTCAATTGTGTGTTAAAGAACATTTGCCAAAGTAATAGCAACTAACAATCAGAGCAAATGTTAACGGCATGTTCAACCAATGAGAACTTAAAGTAAAAACTAGCAATCTGCTTGAAGCGCGGGAAAACGAGAGTGATCATATTAGGATTGGTTTAACTTTTGTATTTGATTGGTTGAGATGGTGGCGTGAGTTTTTTCTAGACCAATCACAGATTAAAGTAAGGCAAACCCAAAGCAAACCAGGGTCGCTTTCAAAACTCAACGGAAAATTGTTCTGTTTGGAAATCATTATTACCCATCTGTACAAGTGCATTTTACAGCGAAATAAACTTCTCTCACTCAACAAGCACTGTTGACACTAAGCCAACCAAGAAGCATGGCAGTCCTTCAGAGTATGCAGAAGGGATTGGAAGCAATTGTGAAATAATAGTTGTAACACTTTTTCTGTTTGATATCTTTCTAAAATTTGCAATTAGACAGGAAGTGAAGGTACCAAAAAACCCACAAAACTCAGATTTGATAAAAAAAATTTCCTAAAATTTTGTAAACCACAAATCTCACTTTATTTTTTTCAATGGGCAATGTGCTTTCACGATTTGAAAGCCATAAGAAATCACTTATAAATGAATAAGTACTCCATTCCATAACTTACTGCAATGAATAAATGAAAATAAAAGGTTTCTTGTGGTTCATTCAAACAAGACAATGATTGATAATAAAATTTGTTTAATAAAGTGCAAATTTATTCATTATTTAAAGCAGTTCAATTCCTGTTGTTTGCAATATCAAGGAGCCTCATTTAAGAATACTTTTATTGCACCACAGCATTTTATTCATGAGTGGGATAATTCACTCTAAAATCAAATTCTACAGTGTTCAGGAAAATTATTGCATTTGATAATTATACGATAATTTGATAATTTAAAAATTTAATTATTTACAATATTTATCAATATATTCTTATATTCCTCATATTGAAGTGAATCGTTTATTCTTTTTATTGAAGTCTTCCTTCAAACATTAATTAAGAAAAAAAACTCCCAAATTCAAAAAATCTTCTAGATTTCAGATGATAGTGAGGTGTTAGCATGATTCAAAACTGTTATAATTACATGAATATTAGCACAAAAAAGTGGGAAAAAATGATTAGGCATTTATTGTAAGGTTAATTATGCATGTTAGTTTAGTGTGGTTAGTGTAATAGGCATGTCACATGCTGCAAGAAAATTAACAACAATGTGTAGCATCTGCCATTAAAACCATTAAAATACAATCAAAGGCCAAAAACTGAAAATTTAATAAAATAAAATAAAAATTTAAAAAAGTTAACATTTAATTTAATATTTAAGCATGAAAAAGTAAAATAGAAAGTTATACAAGTGCAACCTTAGTTGAACTGAAAATGAATTGAAATTTTAAGATAAAATTCAATCTCATGAGGAACCGTTCAACTGCTCCACAATATTTTTACAAGTTCATAATATAAACATAATTTATGACCTTTCCCTCAATATTTATCATTTTATTGTCCACCAGACACCTGTTCCAATGTTCCACTGTTCTACAATGGAACTGTTTTATCAATTATGATTGCTATTAACAAAGGTTTGACCTTTCAACCAATCCAGTGGCTGTCACAAAATTTTCCTGAGGAAACCTTAAACCCATCAATCCCCAAGAGAAAATGATCTCCAATTTGAGAGGTTCTCAATTTCCAAACAAATTCTCCTTGTCAGTATCACAGAAAATTTTAAGAGCACAGTTTGGAGAATACCAATACTGATGTTGAAGTCTAAAGAGTTAAGAGTAGAATCTCTCGGCTTCACCACCAACTCTAGTATTTCAAACTTCCCTACTGGCACCATGTCATGGTCACACCTTTGTTATTAGTCAGGTGTTAATTGCAGCCAATTTTTAACCCTAGTGAATTTGAAGCTGGGTTCTCCAAATTTTACATTTTCTATTGCTCCATTAGTTCTATACTAAATCTTTACACCTGAACTACGTTGACCAGTATTGTAATTAACATTACTTAGCATAAGGGTTTTTAAAATATCATGTTTCTTTTGTTAAAGCAATTATTTCCAAAACTCTTCACTTGTAAAAAGCTTTAACCGCAATTCTCATTGTATTTACAAATTATGAATTTTTTTTAGCTGGCAGAAAAAGATTACATCATTTTAAAGACATACAGTAGTAGCTGTTTTATAATGTATAACAGCTATGACAAAGAGAAGTTTATCAATTTCAAATTATACAAACACGTATACTTTCATTGTAATAAACAATAGTTTTGGAAAATTGAATTTCATCTTACAGAATTAAGATGTATTCAATTTATATTTCATATACTACAATCAATTTAACACTTTAAGTTAGGACCAAGGCACCTTAAAGCAATTTCCAATTATTGTCTATTTTATGTTATTGGTTGCCTTAATATCTACGTTCAGCACACAATGGCGTTTTTTTCCAGGTTTTTGGGGGCAATTTCTCCTAAAAATCCTATTAAAGTGCTTACTGCTAATGACTTCATCTGCTGAAATAAAAAGCTCTAAACCAAGAGCAATCCATTGATCACCTTATTGCAGCAGATAAATCTTCCATTAAGTTATCCCAAATGGTGGGACAATCCTTGATTGAAGATCTGTAGCATGCATTGTACAAAATACAAATCAAGAAGCTTTCCATACTAACTAAACCCATGATTCCGAACCTTCTGATCCACGTCGCCCTTGAAGATACTTGATCCCAGGCACACGGTCAAGAGAGTCCTTATCTCCTATCCCACTGTCATTAGAGTTAGCCACAGCATAACGATTGTTCTTGAGTTCTGTGGAATCTCTTCGTCTTCTGTGTTTTCTGTTGATTAAATTCAATGAACTCTGATAAGAATCTAAAATTTTTCCCCCATCCATGGTTTCAGAACTGGCATACAATCACAAACAAGTTAAAACTACACACTAACACCACAAAATTCGAAGCACCTCTCAGTTCTCTTGAACTAAAGATGCCTACTTCCAGAAATCTGAAATCTTGTTACATTGTGGGAAATTCAAATGTAGTGGAGAAAAGTGGCAATAGGCCATTTTACAGTCGTGCATGTACTAAGTTGCCAAGCCCTTGATTTGGAGTGAAGTTGAAGGTGACCATGTTGTGATAGAGACCAGTATCTAGTTAGTGTGATAGCAAAGTAATTTACAATTGAAAAGCAGCAACATTTGGATCATAACAAAGTCACCCTTAACCTCACTCCTATTCAAGGGCTTGGCAACTAAGCACGCAACTGTAAAATGGACTATTACCCAATTGAATCTCTGCCCCTAGCCACATCTAAATACTTGTTGTTTCTACAATTAAATGGAAGTATAAACTGGACATCTTACCTTATAATTAAAGTAATAATGATGATCGCAAAAGCCAAGATTATTATCCCAGCAAAAACTCCACCATACAGTGATCCAGTGTCCACTCCAGTATGTTCTGCCACATCTCCTGGAGCAAGTGCAATGATCAAATCAATTACAAAACTCAGAATATTGATCATCAAACAATAGTTTAACATTATATTTTTTAAGGTACATGCAGCTAGTTGCACAGGGTTCTGTTTACAGTTTAAGACAAGATAGAGTATATATCTCCACCCTAACCTGGTGTTTTGTTGTATGTGACTGGAGAGCTGACCTCTCCTGAATAACTAGTAAAAGCTTGAACCTGTTGGGGGAAGAACACATCAGAAGTATCATTAATAACAGTTGATTAACAAGGATATTAGATATTTTGTGAATTTAATCTCTCATCTCAGTCATTAGGTAAATAAAACACTTTGACCTCTAAGAGTGATTGGCATCTAATTTCTCTCTACAAACTACAATTGCTTGAATCAATTTTTAGGTTACTAGTCAGAATAAAACAAATGGTCAAGATCTAAAGTAAAAAAATAAATGTTCAATATCTTGAATGTGAAGGTTTTAAGAAAAGGAGTAATTTTAGAGGCTCAAAACTTTGGCTCAATAAAAGGTATGCTATACTAAATTTACCAAGAGATATACATACATGTATATGATTATAACTTAAAGATCATGAAATTTATTATCCAAACTTAAAGTTTTAGTAAATCTCTACATCAGTATGGATTTTCTCATGAAGCAGCATGCAGTTAATTACGTTAAATGCAAATTGCCAATTAATCCAATGTACTCATATCACAAATCTGCTTTCTAACCTCAAAGGACTTTTGGATTCCATGATCATAAAAGTTTTATTGTGAGATGCAAAATGTCTCATGTTCACAGATGTTCCAAAATCACCAAATGTTCATCAGCTGTTCCTTGGTTACACTGTCATCTACACTTAAAGAACTTTGCTAGTTATGAACAAAAGTTACTTCCCTAACCTACATTACTGGTTGCCTTTGTTAAAAAACCTTGTAACAGTCAAGCTCAGTTGCCTCAAACATTGTCAGAGACTTTTTCTCATTATTTTTAGTAGAAATTTCATGCCTTAGACAAACAAATTCAAATTCAAATTCTTTGTTAGAAAACCTTGTAACAGTCAAGCTTGGTTGCCTCAAACATTGTCAGAGACTTTTTGTTCTCATTATTTTTAGTAGAAATTTCATGCCTTAGACAAACAAATTCAACACCTAATTAATCTTTATTTTTTTTTTCCATGATTGTTGTTACTGTTTCTTTTTTCAGCTTTTTAATCTGTTTTCGTGACTGATTGCTGTTTTTATTCTCACAAAACATTTTTGTAAGAGTTCCAATACTTGTGGATCATCCGCACATTTTGCAAACATTTGGCATGCAGACAAGACAGGGGTAGTCAATGTTCCCTTTACGAAAAAAAAACTTTTAAATGACCTCTTCAATTTACTTTATTTGAACTCTGATCTGAAAATATTTTCAAAACAAGACTTGTTAGTAGTGAGAAGTACAAAGCGAGTTTCCTTTCATAACTTAATTTCTTAACTGTCCCTCCTAAAAAATATTACTTCTTTTTTATTTTGGTGCAAAATACAAGTCCTTCTTTGTATACAAATGAAACGTGCAAGTCAAACTTAAATAATAACAGCTCTAAAGTTTATTTGTTGTTCTTCTCTAACTCAGCTATCAACAAAATTGTTTTATACTTCGGACAGTGCATAGCCATTTGTGGACCAGAGTTCCAACGCACCTCTGTAATCACATATTTTTGCTTCTATCTTTTATTTTATAAAAATGAGGGTAAAAGACGATTTGTAATGGCATTAAAAATTGTGATTGGCTTGTGTTATTTCTTACCGTTGCCATGAACACAACTCAAGTGTGTTTTGAGTCTTAGTTTCCTCGACAACTTTCGCCCACAAATCGCACATTTGTAGTACGATCGATTCTTGTCGATTATTTCTACATAGAGTGAACTCAAATCATTATTTATATCACCGTCAGAACATGGATCTAGGTATCCATCGCCCAGAAGCAGAGAACAAGTCGGTCAAAAATCAGAATAAAATTGTGCTCTTCTCTTAACATTGCAATCAGGCCAGATGGCGGATTCACTTTGCTAGCCAATGACAAGTCCTAAAAGATCCACGTGATCATGCCCGTGATCGGAAACAAAGAAGACTCCATTTGGTGCTCATCTTTAAATGTACTTTTCAACGGTTGATCGCTCGTGCGACAAGTTATTTCTGTTCTTAACTGTTTTGCTTAAGACAATATTTCTAGAGATGGGTTTTTATTGTGTTTCGTTGGCGCCGTGGAATTAAAAGAAGGGGCAACAGTTTATATATTGAGTGGCACAAACAAGGGTCGCGTAGCCTTTTAAAAAGCTACGATTTTGAAAGGTTGTGGTAAGTAAAATTGCGATATTCGTTACGTGATCAAAATCTTGTCAAAGAATAGATATAACGGCTTGAGTTAAGCTTACACAACGCTCGTATTGTATTTTTTGGAAAAGAATCAACAGATTTTCTTCACAATTTGTGTCAAACCAGTCATGTAATGATTGATTGGGACTATTTTATATGAATAGCTGTAATTGAAGATTAATTCGTATGAACTTTTCAAGAAAAGAAAAATAAATCAAATTCCATCCTATTATTACTACATGTTGATGTTAATACACCAAAAAAAAAAAAATCTTCGAGTCGCTCAAAGTTCCTTCATTGTCTTTGTTGACACGATATCCTTTAGCGTGTGATTAGTAAATTTTCACACTTTTTGTCTTCGCTGTTTCATTGAGAATGATACCGCTTGTAAAAATCTGTTCTAAAAAAATTGATATCTCGAAATCTATGAGTCGAAGAAATCGCTTGAAACGGGAAATTACTCTAATTCAAAGCAATGCTAGCTAAGAAAATTTCACTGATGCGTCGAAAATTCTGTGCGTCATTAATTAATTATAAAATAATTTAAATAGTACGCGCGCTCTGATTGGCCATAAAACCATTTTACGTGAGCGTATGTAAGCACGGTTTTCGTTCCTCTTTCATTAGTTATTTTATAAAAGAAATGTAAAATGGTTTCCGTGAAGAACTTAATTGTGAAAGCTGGAAACCACTCCGCTTCACATCGTGGTTTCCTACGCTTATCTCGTGTTCTCCCAACCTCCCAAGTGTTTACATCAGGCTATGTAAACACGGAAACCATTTTACATTTCTTCATTATGTGGCGCCACGAAATGAACATGTCAGCATCATTTTCGGTGTGAATCGCTCTGAAGCCAGCTTTTTTTAAAATTAAAAAAGAAACAAGCTGTGAAATTTACAAGGTAAGAAAATAAGAGCACAAACAAGATAAAAGCTTTATTATTGAGTTTTGTATGTTTTCGATTTGCATCGGCTTTCATCGAGAGCATTAGTCTCTTATTATAACGAGCAATCCGCGCAAAATAATTTGGTCTCTTTGGTTTTGTCCATTTTAGACGCACACTGTGAGGTCCTGTCATTTGTGCCTCAAGTTTACCTGGTTTTCTTGGGGCTGATTAAACAAAAGGAAAATGTTTATGTTGTCTCTATATGATAGTGTAGTCTGATTACCCAGTTGAATGAGTGTAGTCCTGAGACAGACTGTTGTGGCAGGTGGTGACTGATGTTTTGACAACCTGAGCGGAAGTCATCATCTGAGTTAGGAGAATAGTTGTTGTCAGTCAAATGTTTAAAATAATAACCCTTTAACTCACAAGACCTGATTTTTAATTCTCTTCTCTTGCTGTTACACAATTCCTAATAAATTAGTTATGAGAATTTGGTGTTAGATCATGAAGATAAAAACTTCCTCCTGATAAGTTCAAGTATTCTCATCAATAGGGAGAAGTTACATGTTGGTCACTTGTGGGAGTTAAAGGGTTCTCAGTGAGTCTTGTACATTTGTGTAAACTGATTGATCAAGTGGCACAAGTCAGTCATGATTGGTCTGTCTATATAGTCTATATAGCTAGTATACAGGAAATATCATTTTAGAAATTTTGTCATATAACAGTAAGGCTCTGCGAATGCAATGCAATCAAAAACCATAATGAAACTGACGTATATAGTGCCAGCTGAGCTGACATTATTTCTACTGTTATTCAAATATACAGGAACTGGTTACAATGATTTCACTTGTGTCCAGAAAAGCATGCAGCAACAAGAAAGGCAGGATTTACAAAATTTTGTCAAACTGATGAATTTGATGATTTCTTTGAAACTAAGGGGTTTTAGAAATATTTTTTATAATGTTCTTAACCCTTTAACTCACAAGAGTGATTAGCATGTAACTTCTCCCTGTAATATCTAAACATTATCTAGCAAACAGGTCATGAGAATACTCAAACTTATCAGGTAGAAGTTGTTATCTCGATCTAACACCAAATTCTTGTAACTTATTTACAAGAAAGTGTGCAGCAGCTAGAGGGGAGAATTGACAATCAGATCTTGGGAGTTAAAAGGTTAATGCTCCTTGGTTGTCTGTTTATTGAGATGCATCGTGAACCTCAAGACACAAAGTCAGCCAGAGTCCTGTTCCTTATTGTTTTGGGGATTCTCTGCACGTTGATAGATAATGCAATCTTTGTTACTATTGCCAAACCTTTCCACTGTACTAAAATTACAGCAGCAGCAGCATCTGTTCAGTATATTTATTGTAAATTAGAGATATTAAGTATGAATTTGATGTCATTAATCTCACGACACTCATCATGTAGTTATCAACTTTGTCCATATGCATTAATGTGTTTGCTGGATTATGTATAGCTTGTTCAGGCATTCAGCTGCAAAACACAGTTCAACTATAAACAGAGCAATAATAGCAGAAGAGTTTTATTTAAAACAATGGCGTACCATTTCACTCTGTTTCAGTTACTGACTGGGGTCAGAAGGGGTAAAGTTATTCCAATTATTATCTTTTTAATATTGTAATCAAAGGTAGAAAGATGTGAATTCTCCACCAATCAGCAACTCAGTGATGTTATCATGATTATCATCTCTAACCACATGACTAATATGACACATGTGGGAGAAATTCAGTACAAAAGACAATAAATCTTGAGCTTGGTTGTCATGTAAAGAAAGGTATTATTTGTTTTTATCTTGATATTTGGGAAACTGTCAAATCTAAGTGCCCTGCTGAGAACTGAATGGGAAATCTTTGGATTTCAGTGTTATTCAGATTATTAAACAGTGTTAGAAAAAATTATGGGGGTTAAGTTTCTAAAGAAACTGTGGTGCTGTGTTGGTGGGGGTTGTGACT